AGCGCGTGCATATTCTACGCGTAGTAATCTAACGCGTGGTAATCCTACGCGTAGTAATACAGCGTGTGGATATCCAACGCGTAGTAATCTAGCGCGTGCATATTCTACGCGTAGTAATTTAACGCGTAGTAATGCAACGCGTGGTAATGCAACGCGTGGTAATCCTATGCGTAGTAATCCAACGCGTACTAATACAGCGTGTGGATATCCAACGCGTAGTAATCTAGCGCGTGCATATTCTACGCGTAGTAATCTAACGCGTGGTAATCCTACGCGTAGTAATACAGCGTGTGGATATCCAACGCATAGTAATCTAGCGCGTGCATATTCTACGCGTAGTAATCTAACGCGTGGTAATCCTACGCGTAGTAATACAGCGTGTGGATATCCAACGCATAGTAATCTAGCGCGTGCATATTCTACGCGTAGTAATCTAACGCGTGGTAATCCTACGCGTAGTAATACAGCGTGTGGATATCCAACGCATAGTAATCTAGCGCGTGCATATTCTACGCGTAGTAATCTAACGCGTGGTAATCCTACGCGTAGTAATACAGCGTGTGGATATCCAACGCGTAGTAATCTAGCGCGTGCATATTCTACGCGTAGTAATTCAACCCGTAATAACGCAACGCGTGGTAATTCTAAGCGTAGGAATGTAATGCGTGATAATCTAACACGTAGTAAACAATAAAAAAAATATCTCTGCAAATTTATTAAAATTGAAAAGAAACAAAAGCTTGAAGAGGACCATAAATTTGAATAAAACGTTATAACGGGACGAAAATTATGATGGTTGCATGTCCACGCTCTCGCTGATTATTGATCAAGCATACGAAAGTACCGGGATGAAGATTTCAATTCGATGAACGATTTTCACGGTGAACAGAGAGGCACAAAGGAAATCGCAATCATTTTGCCATCGTGCAAATGACGCTTGCGTGAACCATAATTTCAACCCCGATCTGTCTGTGATGCGACAATAATGACACACTGCTCGAGTTCATCGAAAACACATTAGATGCACGTATCTCAGGTGTTCGTGGAAAAATGGGTCACGATACGATAGCTGCCAGCGAAAAGATGAATAACCCTTTGGTTTTGATGTTCGAAAATTTTATACCGTTGGAATAAACTGAAATCGTTTAACATTAAAGATAATGTTATACTTCGATGTTTATATGTTGTGTACTGATAACGAGTGAAATTTAAAGCTGGTTTATCTGAGAACATCGCTTAATTATAGGAAATAGAGATCTAACGAATAATATATGTAGTGTTATGATACATTTTTATGCAATTATTTAATAGTTACGAAACATTAGAAGCTACAACTATTCTGTGTTTAATTGAATATAAGAATTTCAAAATATATTAAAAGCATGTACAATTGTATATTTTACCATGTATTAGAAAGAAGGATTTTTCTCTACTTTAATTACATAATTACGATTGAATATTGTTACTGGTGCTATAGATATTTCGTTAGATATACTTCTTTGAATTTATATGCTATATAAATTTCTATATCTAACTATTGCATCCCTATATGTTTAATATAGGGATTAATATTATTGTGTCCCTAGATCAAAACATTACTAAATGCAATTGTCTCTAGATCAAGAAGTTTCAAGCTTCCAATATTTCTAGGTTTAAGTATCCCTAGATCCAAAAAATTCTAAGATCCAAAGATCTCTAGATTCAATTTCTTCTATATCCAAAAATTACTAGATCCAAAAATATATAGATAACAAAAAACACTAGATCCCAAAATTCCCTAGATCCAAAATCCCTACTTCCAACAATCCCTAGATCCAAAATCTCTAGTTCCAAAATCCCAAGTTCCAAAAATCCCTAGATCCAAAATCCCTAGTTCCAAAAATTCCTAGTTCCAAAAATCCCTAGATTCAAAATCCCTAGTTCCAAAAATCCCTAGATCCAAAATCTCTAGTTCCAAAAATCCCTAGATCCAAAATCCCTAGTTCCAAAAATCCCTAGATCCAAAATCTTTAGTTCCAACAATCCCTAGTTCCAAAAATCCCTAGATACAGCAATCCCTAATTCCAAAAATACCCAGTTCCAAAAATCCCTAGATCCAAAATCTCTAGTTCCAAAATCCCTAGTTCCAAAAATCCCTAGTTCCAACAATCCCTAGTTCCAAAACTCCCTAGATCCAACAATCCCTAGTTCCAAAAATCCCTAGATCCAAAATGCCTTCTTCCAACAATCCCTAGTTCCAAAATTCCTAATTCCAAAAATCCCTAGTTCCAAAAATCCCTAGATCCAAAATCCCCAGTTCCAAAACCTCTAGTTCCACAAATCCCTAGATCTAAAATCCCTAGTTCCAATAATCCCTAGATCCAAAATCCCTAATTCCAAAAATCCCTAGACCCAAAAGCCCCTAGATAAGTATCCAAGAATTTCCATGTCCCTAATTCAAAAAGTTTCTAGACAGAATTGCCTCTAGACCAAGAAGTTCCTAGTTTCCAATATCCCTAGCTTCCTACAATCCTAGATTTTTCATTAGTTTGAAAAATCTCTAAATTCCCATATCCCCAGAGATTTTATCATTCCTAGATTTCACTATCCATAGACATTTGTGAGCAGCAACCGATAGTTACACTTACTTTGAAATAACTACACCCAACTTTATTGGTTAATGTATTACATAATCGAAATTGCTGCAATAAAATTACTAAGTAGAAGCGCCTATCTATCATTTCAAGCAGTTCTACCGCAATTACAGTAAACATTAAAAATGTCGTCAAAAAGACAAGATATTTTTGTGTACTTTCTATTCAGTCGAACAATTATTAATACAAAAGTATTCTCTACTGCTCTGCTGTGCAATATTCTTCGATCAATTTGAATACGAAAGAAGATCGAATAAAATCCGTCTAAATTAGCCAAATCAGATTTCTATCACCAAAGAACGCAGAAAGAACGATGCTGCGACTATCAGCTAATTACTCGTCAATCGAGAAACATCGAATCGTTATCACAAACGGCTATCTAACAGAACAGTTTCCATGGATCGAACGCGGTGTAGATGAACGCGATTAGAATCGGCTCGTTTCGTGCCAGCTGAATTTCCCGTACGTTATCCCAGGATACACGAGCGCAGCACGTTTTTGCAAATGCAAAACGAGACGCACAACTATAATACGGACGATGAGGTGCAGCGAAAGTACAGAGCCATTATGCCGTCGAGTATATAAGGCTCACTGTAGAAAACGAAGCGGTTCAGTCAGTGGTTATACGCCACCTAAAAACATACGCGAACTCGACGATGAATATCAAGGTAAGCCATCACCGTTTCCGTGGAAACTTCGATCAAGATCGATAATCACTTTTTATTTCGAGATTTTTCACTTTCGATTTTACGTGCTTCCTCCTTCGAATTTAAGATAATTGTGTTGGAGAAACTGGACGTTGTTTGTAGTCTTACAGAACGTTCTCAACAGTGTTGTTTTAATTTTTATAAATTCACTCGATGCTGAATTTCCTTTGCACTTTCAAAATTATAGACTTGTATAAATAATTTAGTTCGTGCAACATTTTTGTTTTCATTCTTCTTTTGCAAATTTAATTCTTCATTTGCAAATGCAGTTCATGCAAAATTTTTTTCAACATTCATTCTTCTTTTGCAAATTTAATTCTTCATTTGCAAATGCAGTTCATGCAATTAATGAAATTATTCGGAACAGTTCGTTCTTTAACATGTCATCGTTTTTTAATTTTTAACAATGTTATACTTGAATAAAATTGTCCTTTAATAAAAAATATTTATTCATCGTTAATTCAATTACTCGTGAAAGTTTGTTTTCAAAATTGAAAAACTCCTGCAACAGCTAATTTATTTCTGACTTATAATCAGTTCCACGTTTTGAGCATACTTTCAACGAAATAGAAAAATTATTCATAATTAAATTGTTTCCCATAAAATAGATAACATACAAGCCACTTTGTGGCTAAATAATAGCTCTAGCATTCAGTGTTAATGAAAATAGAAATTTCTACATTTACAAACTTTATAAACTTTCGACATATAGCTGCTGAACTTTATTTCATAATAAATTATAAATTATTATTATTTAAAACCTTGTATTTCCATGAAATATACATGGCCCATAAACCGCCACCCTAAATAATTACATTAAGAATAAATAATTAAATTAAGAAGATATTCTTCAGAATCCAGGGTATCGACTCGTTGATAAATTCCAAACGAAACCGTATCATCGACTTGCGAATCTCATCTCAACTTTCACTCTTAGCTCGCCATCGTCCTGGTGGCTCTGGCCACGCAAGCTAGCCTAGCGGAGGAGGCGAGCAAGCCAGCAGAGGAGGACACGACGAAAGACTCGGTAGCGGAGTCGAGCGAGAAGAAAACGGAGAAGCGTGGTCTCCACGGCAGCTACGGTGACCTGGGAGGCGGAGGAGACGGCGGTGGCGGCAGCTACGACCACCACGAGCACGTGAAGACGGTCACGGTGGTGAAGAAGGTACCGGTGCCTTACGAGGTGACCAAACACGTGCCCTACTTGGTCGAGAAGCACGTACCGTACGAGGTTAAAGTCGGCGTACCGCAGCCTTACACCGTGGAGAAACACGTCCCGTACCCCGTGAAGGTGTTCGTAAAGGTGCCCGTGCACGTGCCCCAGCCGTACACCGTGGAGAAGCACGTGCCTTACGAAGTCAAGGTACCCGTGGACAAGCCGTACGAGGTAAAGGTGCTGGTGCCGCAGCCGTACACCGTGGAGAAACACGTACCAGTGCCCGTCAAGGTGCCCGTGCCGCAGCCGTACACCGTCGAGAAACACGTGCCGTTCCCAGTGAAGGTCAAAGTTCCTCTGCCGCAGCCGTACCCCGTGAAGAAGCCGGTGCCGTACGAGGTGAAGATCCCCGTCGATAAACCGTACCCGGTCTCCGTGCCCAAACCGTACCCCGTCACCGTCGAGAAGCCGTACCCGGTGCCGGTGGACAAACCGGTGCCCTACGAGGTGAAGGTACCCGTGGACAAACCGTACCCCGTGCCCGTCGAGAAGCCCTACCCGGTGCCGGTGAAGGTACCGGTGCCCCAACCGTACACGGTACACAAACCGGTGCCCGTCGCGGTACCCAAGCCCGTGCCCTACCCAGTTAAGGTACCCGTGGACAAACCGTACTTGGTCGAGAAGGAAGTACCCGTACCAGTCGAGAAAGAAGTACCGGTACCCGTCAAGGTACCCGTGCCTGTACACATACAGGAGGATCACGGCAGCGGAGGCGGATACGGAGGCGGATACGGAGGCGGATACGGAGGCGGGTATGAAGGAAGCTCTGGATATGGAGAGGAAGGCGGTTACTATCATCATCGTTGATTATTTGCTTGATATGGTAGGACGGTCACTTCGAGGTTAGAGCTTCTTTTCTATGCTTTTCGTAGGGTTAGGTTGCGTTGGAGAGTTGTAGATGGCACGGAGTGGGCGGAGCGATGGGTGGGGCTACGCTGAAGTGGGTGGAGTTTGTACGTTGGAGGAAGAAGAGTAAGTGGCGGGTAGATGGGTTTTCAAATTTGAAGTTTACAAATATTTATACTTCTCAATGTCCAAATTTCTATATCAAATTTTTAAATCTTCAAATGAACTGTGTAAACTTCTACAGTTTCAATTGTACTATCACCAAATCAGAAAGGTAGTAATAATTAGAGCTAGCGTATTAACGGAAGCAGTTACTATTAGTCTATCACGAACGTAGAATTACTAATTCACTTTAAAGTCCACTCTATCGCTTACATAAAAACACTACTGTTGTCATCTACCGCATACTCCAATGTAACCTAAGCCATATAGATAGATTACGCGTTCCATGAAACGTAACGAAAGTGATATAAGAGCGACAGTTATCCTGGTTTTTCTAATATCGAGTTACGCGACCTGGTGGGGGCGTTCCTCGACCCTGGTGGGGGCGTAGTCTGCGCACGAGACCTGTTACTTTCTCAGCAAAAAGGGAAATAACAGTACCCGTCCTCTGATGTCACGATCAACTTTCTAAGAGCGCGTAATCTGTCTGTACAAGTCTACGCTGCTTCCTGAATGGAAAATAGAAGTACCGTCAATGAAACCTTGAAAATATCATCCTTTAGACATACTGTGTCCCGTTTGATGTAACCTGTAGGATGGAACGATATGCGGGGCAGAATTTTTCTTCTAACAGTGAATTTTTTTTTAAATTTTGGTAAATTTATTGAAATTCGAAAGTTAATTTTTATTAAATTTATATACTCGGTGAAGTTTATTTACCGTGTGGGGATAATTTTTGAGGGAACAAAAATTGAAAGTAGCTTAATGAACAATTTTTTGTAGCTTCAAGCTAAAATATTTATAATTTTTGAAGTACTAAGTTGGATGTGGCTGTAACTTCTCGGTCTTGAATATTCGCTGTTAGAAAACGGTCGCAATTTCTTCGTTCCAGCCGCATAACCACGCGTATCTTCAGGGGAGAACCAGGTAAAACGATCGTATGTAGATAAATGCTTCTCTCTCAAGCGCAACGTGTCTTTCAAGCAATTCAAAGAAGCTGCTCGAGTATATCATCATTAGCTATTCCTTGGTGACAGCCATTTTACAGCGTTTTTCATAGCTAGTCTTTCGAAACAACGTAGAAATTTTCTTCTCTCAAAAGCTTCAATGTCACGTTCGCTATCGTACCAGATTATTTTTGTGTATTTTATACAAACGTTTTAGTACCCGAGAGCCAGACTAACTTAAGTTCATTCTTTTTACCAGTTTTCTCTTATTAATTCTATTTTTGTACTTTGTTGTAATGCAACGGGGTTAGTTTGACTCTCAGGTAGAGAATTTTTGATAAAAATCGATGGAGAAATTTTTTATTGATTTTGTACGATTATTGGAACCATTGGTTGTTTTAGTAGTTTCATTTATAAAAATTAAGAAGCATAAGTTCTCTTCTAGTGGTAGAAAGTATGTTTATCTTGCTGTTCCAAAGAAACTAACAACTGCGCATAAACGAGCTTTACGAGCATAAGTTAGCCAATGTGAAGTATACTTCGCTGTGAAACTATACCTTTGCAGCGTAGAGGCACTCTTGTACCTAATTTAAGTTAAGACACCATAGATGCCCTTTTTTGTATTAAAAAGATTTTTAATAAATACTCTGTCATTGTAATATGGATTTTTATTTAAGACATCCTTTGCGTTTATATCTTTCAGGTGATGAAGGATAATTATTTTACAACATAAAAGTTGTAAACATTGCTAAGTTCATAATAATTGCACAGTAATTTTACGGACATCAACACACGTTGTATACGTGTAATATACAATGAATTCAAGTAAAAATAATATAGTGTCTCGCAATTAGTGTAGGTCTCTGAAATGATAGCTGACGAGATTCTGAATAAGATTTCCCTTTGCAGAAATGGGATCTGAAGCTTCGTTTTCGAATTATTAAGGAAAAACACGGGACCAATCAGAGCGCGAGAGGCGTGCGCAGGCGCGAGACAGCTCCGCCCAGCGGCTGAGCGCGCGTAATCCTCGCGCTCTGATTGGTCCGTGTTTTTCCTTAATAATTCAAAAACGAAGCTTCAGAGCGAATTTTTGCAAAGGGAAAAGTTGTTCAGAATCTCGAATCCCACCACCCGATTCCGAGAGTTACACTAGTTGTGAGACACCCTGTATATTTTTTATTACTAATTTAAGAAACATTTCTAAAGAATTATTCTCTTTTCAAATAGTAAAAATGTTTCCTTAGCAAAAATTACTTTATATAATCACACTTAATTTATACTTAAGAATTGTTAAAATTAATTCGATCAAATTTAAAAATTGACCGAATTCAATTACGTAATCAAGATACAAACGAACAACGCAAAAGATTAGAAACGATTAAAAGTTAATTAATTTCACGAACTTCGTTTTAGAATGTTGATTGTATCATTCTCGTAACGCGTAGTTAATTGATGGAAATCAAAAGCAGCGATCTATGATTAAAGTATCGTTTTCCTTGCTCGAAGAATTCGCAAAGTTTTTCGCAAGAGTAACCGAAGAAAAACGGCGAAGAATTCTTCGCGAACGTGTTAACGAGCAAACACTTTCTCGCCGAATCTACCGGAAATCTCGTCTTCGAGTTTCACTTTTGCAAAATTTCCCTTTTCGCGCCGACTGCTCAACCACGTGTATGAGAACGAATTATTATTACGTGGACGCCTCTTTCACTTGATACCAGTAGCGTAAATACTTCTCGGTGGGCCCGGAACATTGCCCATAAAATATAGAACGACTTTTATTATGTTCAACAAGGATTGTGGAATGCAGGACATTTCATAGTTCTACATTATTATATTAGAAAGGAGACTTTCAAAGAAATGTCTTTCATAGTTCTGAAATATATAAGTTTTTAGATTTTCAAATATACAAGTGTTCAATAAACTTCCAAATTTTCCTAAATTAACAAGAATGGAAATTTCTCGATTTCTTCAAATTCCCTAGATTCTCTAGATTCTATAAATTAAAAATTTCATGAATTATCAAAATTCTCGAATTTCCAAAGTTTCAAATTTCCAAACTCCCAATTCTTCAAATTTCCAGATTCCCCAAACTCCCAAATCTCCAAATTCCCCAAATCCTCCAAATTCCTCAAATTCCCCAAATTTCCCAAACCACCAAATCTCCAAATTTCCCAAATTTCCCAAATTTCTCAAATTCCCCAAATTTCCCAAATTTCCCAAACCACCAAATCTCCAAATTTCCACAAATTTCCCAAATTCCTCAAATTCCCAAATCTCCAAATTTCCGAAATTCCCCAAATTCCCAAAATCCCCCTAAATTTTCCCATTTCCCTAAATTCCCTAAATTCCCCAAATCCCAAAATCTCCCAAATTCCTCAAATTCCCCAAATTCCCCAAACCACCAAATCTCCAAATTTCCCAAATTCCTCAAATTCCCAAATCTCCAAATTTCCGAAATTCCCCAAATTCCCAAAATTCCTCAATTTCCCCAAATTCCCCTAAATTCCCTAAATTCCCCAAATCCCAAAATCTCCCAAATTCCTCAAATTCCCCAAATTTCCCAAACCACCAAATCTCCAAATTTCCCAAATTTCCCAAATTTCTCAAATTCCCCAAATTTCCCAAATTTCCCAAACCACCAAATCTCCAAATTTCCACAAATTTCCCAAATTCCTCAAATTCCCAAATCTCCAAATTTCCGAAATTCCCCAAATTCCCAAAATCCCCCCAAATTTTCCCATTTCCCTAAATTCCCTAAATTCCCTAAATTCCCCAAATCCCAAAATCTCCCAAATTCCTCAAATTCCCCAAATTCCCCAAATTCCCCAAATTCCCCAAATCCCTCAAATTCCCCAAATTCCCCAAATTCCCCAAATCCCTCAAATTCCCCAAATTCCCCAAATTCCCCAAATCCCTCAAATTCCCCAAATTCCCCAAATTCCCCAAATCCCTCAAATTCCCCAAATTCCCCAAATTCCCCAAATCCCTCAAATTCCCCAAATTCCCCAAATTCCCCAAATCCCTCAAATTCCCCAAATTCCCCAAATTCCCCAAATCCCTCAAATTCCCCAAATTCCCCAAATTCCCCAAATCCCTCAAATTCCCCAAATTCCCCAAATTCCCCAAATCCCTCAAATTCCCCAAATTCCCCAAATTCCCCAAATCCCTCAAATTCCCCAAATTCCCCAAATTCCCCAAATCCCTCAAATTCCCCAAATTCCCCAAATTCCCCAAATCCCTCAAATTCCCCAAATTCCCCAAATTCCCCAAATTCCCTAAATTCCTCAATTTCCCCAAATTCCCCAAATTCCCCGAATTCCTCAAATTCCCCAAATTTCCGAAATTCCCAAAATCTCCCAAATTTTCCAAATTCCCTAAATTCCCCAAATCTCCAAATTCCCCCAAATTTTCCAAATTCCCAAAATCCTCCAAATTCCCCAAATCCCCAAAATTCCCCAAAATCCCCAAAACTCCCACCACTCCACAAAAAATCCTAGTTACGCCAATGGCAGAAAGATCGAAGAAAAAAAGTCGCTCGCACGCTGCCTGATATTTTACGGTTCAATAATTTCAAGGAAACATGACAGAAACGTTTAACACATGTCTGGCTCCGACCGGAAGCGGAAAGATTCTGAGAAGAGAAAGATGAACGTATCGAATGCGTATATTGCTGCTGACCGTTTCCGGGCCGCGCTTTCGATCTCGAGCGAATCTTAAATCAAGATTTGCAATTAAACCGATCGTTGTGTGCGTGTTCAAGAAAGCATTACTTTCTCCGCGATTAGTCGTGCGCCGACACACACCAATACGCTCTTCTACATTGATTTATGGGCGCTGTTTGATTTGAATTTGATAGCTGGGTTCAGTGGAAGAAGAAAATTGTTTAAGTACCGTGGTTATGGAAGGGTCGAGTTGGACCCTCGAGTTACAAAATTAAAATTGAATTAAATTAAAATTAGAAATTTTAATTCTCTCATTCGGAATCGATTTCTGTAATTTTTTCATTGAAAATTGCTTTTGGTAATATTTTTATTCTATTCGACGTTGTAGCGTTTCTGTTTTTTAAATTTATTAGGAATACTGCGATGATTTTGTATTTTTCCATACTTGTTATAATATTGTGTTCAATAATCAAAATAATTAAATTACCTGTCACAAAAGTTACCGACAACAAATAAATAAAAATTTTAATCTTGTGAAGAATCCATAAATTCATCGATCCATAAATGTAGAATTTAAAAATTACTTTCGAAGCTCGCTTCCATCATTCAAATACCACAATTTTCCCGCGCAAATTGATTTTGACTAATAAATCCGTAATAATGTAACAAAATTAAATTTACAGAAATAAATGCAATCATTAAGTACATTTACCAATACCTTCTGTAAATTAAATTTGCAGAAATAAATGCAATCATCAAATACATTTACCAATACATAAATATATAAAAATAGACAAACACATAAAACTACATAAAATACACAAAATCCATAAAAGACAAATGCATGAAAATAGACAAATGACAATATTGTCATAAGAGTAAACGATTAGCATGACCATCGAGCATTGTTTCCTTCTCGGTTACATAAAACGTTATGTTATACGGGAACTGCGAATTACGAGGATGCATAACCGCGGCGAAATATGAAAGTGTGCGGACGCGTGGTTTTATTAGACGACCGGTGGATTTTGTGAAAGTGAAAAAAATCGCGACGATTCCACCATGCGTGAATTATGGCCGACCTGTCTTGCTACCCACTTCTTCCTGCATCGCGATCCGTCTACTTCCGCTTTTCTATTGGCTCTTCGGTAATAAGAGGAAAGTTTCATCGTTCTTCTTTTTTTCTGTTCCTTTTCTTCTTATTACTTTCCTTTATCGAAGTGGACGTTTTCGCGGCAATCATTTTCTCACGATTCTTATACAATCGTAAGTAGTTGTGTTATAAATTATTTTGGTAAGTGTTCAGGTTCTTTTTAGAAAAAATTGTGAGACGTTTTATTAGCAATGAAATTGATTGGAAGATATTGATAAAGATTTAGAATTATTAATGCAAGTAGCAACTGTTAAAATTAATGCTGAAATTAGTGTTAAAATTAATGCAAATATCAACTGATAAAATTAATTGTTAATGCAAGCATCAACTGTTAAAATTAATGCTGAAATTAGTGATAAAATTAATGCGAATATCAACTGTTAAAATTAGTTATTAATGCAAGCATCAACTGTTAAAATTAATGCTGAAATTAGTGTTAAAATTAATGCAAATATCAACTGTTAAAATTAATTATTAATGCAAGTATCAACTGTTAAAATTAATGCTAAAATTAGTGTTAAAATTAATGCAAATATCAACTGTTAAAATTAATTATTAATGCAAGCATCAACTGTTAAAATTAATTATTGACAGATGAAAATTAAGAGTATCCTCAAAAAAAAATAAAAATATATTTTCTAATAAAAATAAAAAATTACTACAAAAAGAAATTAAAAAGAACTAATAAAAATTAAAAACAGCAAAATTTGCCCCGATCTATTATTTATTACACAAATCAACAGCGCTCCATTTTCCCATCGATCGCGAGCAAAATGGAGTCGCGTGTCATCCGTGCACAATTTTCAGAACATTCGATATTTACTTCACTAGAACAGAATACCGTAGTTTCTCGACAGAATCGCAGTGAAAGTACGTTACTTTCAGATCATCGAAACCGCGATTGTATCATGTTCGTCTCGCCGTTGCAAGGACAAATAAAATCATCGTCATCTATTTCACAATATTATCACGGTTGTAAATTCCGTTCCGGTGATTAAAGGCGGTTGAAGAAAGCAATGTAACGTTTCGCGTACACCGGAAGAACGTAACCCGAGAACGTAATGAGTCCTTGCTACCGGAAGGAAACAGTTTAGAACCAGTTTCTACAGGATACAATTAAATTTTGCCTCGAAGTGTTTGGTCTTTTTTTGGCGGGAAACTGTTGTTAAAGCTCGGTGCAGGATAATCATAGTTATACAGTAAAATAGTTGTGCAGTAACATAACTAAGAACAGAGTAACATATGTACATTTATTTAGAAATAAGTTTATATATTATTTAGAAATAAATGTACATATAATATAATATAACATAGTCATACAGTAATATAACATATTATAACATATGTTATGCAGTAACTAATATAACACAGTAGTATATGTACATTTATTTAGAAATAAGTTTATATATTATTTAGAAATAAATGTACATACAATGTAATATAACGTAACATAGTATAACATATGTTATGCAATAACTAATATAACACAGTAACATATGTATATTTATTTAGAAATAAGTGTATATATTATTTAGAAATAAATGTACATACAATGTAATATAACGTAGTCATACAGTAACATAACATAGTATAACAAATGTTATGCAGTAACTAATATAACACAGTAGTATATGTACATTTATTTAGAAATAAGTTTATATATGATTTAGAAATAAATGTACATATAAACTAATATAACATATGTTACGCAGTAACATATATACATTTATTTAAAACCAATATAACATATGTTACGCAGTAACATATATACATTTATTTAAAACTAATACAACATATGTTATACAGTAACATATGTACATTTAAATTATACATGTTGTATTATATTATGTTACTATATGACTATATTATATCACATTATACATACATTTATTTCTAAATATATAAAAAAAAAGTAACTAAACCATAAGCCCTATAAAACATTCTTCCCACATAAATAGAGTATCCAAAATGTCGTCCCTCGTGGTCCAAAATGAAACAGCCAGTTCCCCAAAACGTATAAGGGGACCAGTAGTTTCCGTGACGAGGAGATTCGAATCGCGTTGAAATTCCGAGGCTGAAACCCATTATCGAGTTTCCATCCCTTCATCCCCGTCGTCGGGTTCGCAGAACGGGCGCGAGGGTGGGTTTTATCCAATGCCGCGGGTGTCGGGGCGCGACTGTGAAGCGAAGGCAATTATCGTAGCGAAACTTGAACGTGTTTGCCAGCTTCGAAGCTGGCCGACGACGACGACGACGACGACGACGACGACGATGAGACGGTGTGAGAGTGGAGTGTTTGGCGTCTGATACGACGGGTCAGGTCCCGAGGGATTCTCAGCGACTCAAACGGGACTATCCCGACACTCTCATCGCAGTTAATTACAGAGTCCTCTCGTTCTCCTTCTAACTCCATTTCCCCTTAGCTCCTCCTTCAATCGCCTGACTTCGATTTTCTTCCGCCATTTTTCACTCGTGAAATGTGCACTCGATAACTTATTATAATCTTTATACTTTAATTACTTTAATTCTAACTACATTTTGCTGATGCTCCTTCAATCGCCTTTCTTTGATTTTCTTTCACGGTCGGCCATTTTGGACTTCGTGAAAGTCTTCGTAAAATGTGCAGTCAATAATTTATTATAATCTTTATACTTTAATTCTAACTCCATTTTGCTGATGCTCCTTCAATCGCCTTTCTTTGATTTTCCTTGACGGTCGGCCATTTTGGAATCCGTGCAAATTTTCATAAAATGTACAGTTATTAATATATTGTTATAATCCTTAAACTTGTAAATTTGTTTACTCTGTATAAATTCTTCTAACTCCATTTTAGCTGATGCTCTTCTTGTATTTAGTTTCTTCCGGTCTTTAACGCCATTTTTTATTAGATTTTGACTTTTGTCAATTTTTATTAATTTTCTTCAACTTTGAAGAAAGAGGAAGAAGTAAAGTAGTGAACCATAAACGAACTCTTATTACAATTAAACACAACAAACCTATGTCATGAATATTCAATTTTTATCAACTTTACAAAAACAGAGGGTGAATGATCAATTTGTAAAATACAATTGTATCATAAAAATTTACAAAATTAATTTGTGTGGATCATTATCAATATTCAACAATTTTGATCAATTTCACAAAACATCATCAATTTTATCATGTTATCATCAATGTATGAAAGAGAACTAAATAATTTTATAAACTAACAATGGAGGTCAATTTTAGAAAAATAAAGTGGGGTGAGAGTAGTGAAATAGAACGTTTCGAATGAAGTTTAACTACAGGTGAATCGCGTGTAAGCGAGAGCTTCGACAATCAGTGGACGACAGAGAAACCCCCGTGGGAATCCGAGCGAGCGAATCGTAGCGGGATTGAACGCTTGAAATGGAATAATATCCAATAATCTGGCAGCTGAGAGAACGGGATAAAAAAGGGACGTTTTATCGGAACATCGCAGTAACCGAGTGAGTACCCAACCATTTCCGCCCCAGGCTCTCGCTTTCCTACCCCTCGGCGCTTCTGGCAAACCGGGCAAAATTAATTATTGATTTCGGATACGGCCATTCACAGGTCGAAAGCTTTTAATCGAAAACGAACCCATCCGACCCGTTCGTTTCGATGCGAATCGAACAACGTTATTGGTTTTATTTTAGAGAAATAGAGAATATTTCCCTTTTTTCTTTTTAAAAATGTTATCAATTTTTTAAATTGTCACCTGGAATTTACTGCTTTGTATGCTCCGTGTAAATCCAGCATTCCTGAGTTATAAATTAAAAAACGCTGCTTCCATATAGTTAACGTAAGTGTAGGTTAGAAAATTCGTAGACATTTGTTGATTATTGCTACAGAAAAAAAGAGGGTTTTTTATAAGATATATATTTAATTAGATCAAATTAGCATGGTTCATAAAAAGAAAAATTTAAAGGTTTTAAATAATTACAGATAAGTAGATAAGTGTCTTAGGATGGAGGTAACATCAACAAATACACCAGTCACTTCTCAGATTTTCATCCATCAATGGATACAGATGGGAGTGATGGAAATGGACCAGACATGTTGGATCTGGATCTTAAGGATTCTTCTTTTGATGATGGCAGAATATCAATTAACTAAATTAAGGGATTAGAAAGATTTGGATTATGAACTGTATGAATATATATAAATAATTATAATTAGACTCTTTATATTTATGCACTTATGATAAACTAAAGTCTGCAAACTGCATTATCTACAAATCTCCACATTTTTTGAAGACTTTAATATATCATAACTGTATAAATATTTGTATCTTTCTAATTATAATTTAATATATTAATGAGAAAACATGAATCAGGAAATAGAATAAAGGATTCTTTGAGGGTTAACATAATTTGCTAACAGTGCTATTTTGAAACAATAAAGATATAAAGACACTCAGCATGTAGAAATGACATATTTTTGAGTGAAAAAGGTATATATAATTTGCACTTATACAATGTTGACATAGCATTAGTTTTGCTGCACGTAGTTTTATATATTTTAGTTTATTAAATCAACATATTTTAAATAATCTAAAAATTAAGCAATATCTTTAATCACCTCCTGTAATTCAGCTTTTGTAAACATATGAAACAGTTTCTCAGGTGTCATTGTCATTACTTCTATGTTATCATCATTCAATTTTTCTTCCATGACTTGCTTCAGTATAACTAAAGCTGATTTTATTGCTTCTTTAAGCGTCATAGACTGTAAAATGTAATAACAAATAATTAGTATATCTATTAAAATTTTAATTGTTAAAAATTACATATTACATATGTTGGATATCTTACCGCATGATATACTTCTTGAAGGTTCTGTTGTGCACCTTCGCTACCAGAGCCAATGGCTTTTGCATTGAATTGAACGAAAGTGCCTGAAGGGTCCATATGATATAACTGAGGCCCTTTCTCGTCTATACCAGCAAACAAAACTGCTACACCAAATGGTCTTGACATAGCACTTCCATCGTCATCGCTGTCTCCAAATTGTATAGCTAAATTGGAAACAGCTTGGGCCGTCGATTCGACAGACATTCTTTCATTGTAGACGAACCAATGATTCTGACATTCTACTCTAGCACGATCAATTATTGTTCTAGAATCAGCTATTAAACCTGATGCAGCGCATCCAATGTGCTTATCAATTTCAACAATTTTTTCTAAGGTTGTAGGCTCCATTAAAGCGGAAGTGATACGCTTCTCCACAACTAACACTACACCTTCTGATGTTGCAATTCCAATGGCAGTGGAACCAAGTTTTATAGCTTCTATAGCATATTCAACTTGGAATAATCTTCCTTCGGGTGAGAAGGTATTAACACCATGATCGTATTCAGAACGTGTTAAAAACATCTGAAAACAAAAGAACATGTAAAGTCAGTTGGCATCTATATAACTCTTAATCTGAGCTATCTATACAACCTTTTATATACTTGTGTTCATGATTGAACTTTTAGGTTATGTTTCAAAACATTACATATGCATTTATATTTCATTACTCGGACATAAATATATAATAATAAAATGTGTCAAATATATTTACTATGAACTCAATAAGTGTAAGTTAATTCATTAATATTTGAAACAATAAAAATTAAACTAATATGAAGTAAGGTTAATTCGGAATGACATAGCAAAACTATGTTAGTTATGTTACAAACATACAAATACATGAAGTTAAGTGTATTTTTGAAACTAAGTACTCATTAACAACTAATGATACTTACTTTTAAACTAGATCTATTGTTCTAATAAAAAACGCTTAAAAATCAGTTCAAGCCGAATGTCACAAACGCCAGTCACGAAGAAACTTGAATCAATGGCGGTAAATGGCGGGGATGACAAAAATGATTTAATTTTGAAAGTGTCTCGAGCGCAACCATAGTTTTTTTAGAGATGACATCTAACAGGAATAAATTCTTACTATCAAAAATTCTCTATCCATTTTATTTCGCGCTATATATTTCAGAAAGGCGATTCGAAGAATTACATTAGAACGTAACCTAATATATTTTTTAAGCTTATGTTTAAAATTGAAATATCTTGCAAATACGTAATAAAGAAATAAGGTGTAATAGTTTATTGTAAAGTATTCAATTTAAAATGTTGCAAATATTAAAATATATGCAGAAAAAATACCTTTTTGTTTAAAGATTTTCGCGCGCTCTGCAGGAAACTACCCCTGGCATCATCTAACCGTCAAACACAAAACTATCAAAATAAAATATATTTTTCCATAAAATGAGCAATTTTTATGTTTCTCTGGTTGTATTTAAAGGCTGCTCTTCGGAAGACAGTTCCTAAATCACTTATTAAAGATTAATTTAATTTTTTCGGAAATTGGAGCGAGTGGCGCCATCTCTTCGGCGAACAGGATGAACTTCACGTATTTGAAACTGTACTTTAATTAGTTCCTATCTTCACCGTTAGGCGGCTCGTATTCGACTTTCGAGCGAGAATCTCAAACTCCGTGGACATCTAGCGGTGAAAATAGGAACTAATTAACCTGCTGTTTCAAATACGTGTAGTTCACCCTGTTCGCCGGAGAGATGGCGCCACCTGTTCAATTTTTAAAAAATTCATTTAATACCGATTTTATCGATTTAATACGCATCAAATGACATCGGAGATCAAAAGTAATTAACTTAGAAATGTTTTCCCTTCACACTTTCAATTTTTTTCAAAAAAAAACATCCCGAAGTTTGCTATTTTCTGTTCGACTAGTACGATCCTACACCAATCGATGGCGATACCGTAACAATTTTCAAACACCGCGTAAATTAGAACTTAGGGAATTTAGAAAGGTAAATAGAATAATAGAAAAGTTTTCTTCCCTAAGAACTTAATACTTAATCCATTCAATAGTGCACAGTGTCGCAGACCTACCTACTGTCCATTCAAAACATAATCCATCGCCATTCACCATTCAAACGCCCACTACTCTTGCAAAACACCCCAACACAATTTCATCAAAGCCTATCCACAATTCGATGGATCTCTGTGCATGATCCCAGCCATGTTGCGAAACGTGAATCCGTGCCCTTGGATTCGTCCCATTCCGCGGTTTCTGGTCACCGAAAGCGACCGGGGCCGAACACCGAGGGCCCAAGTATGCGCTAATTGGTACGGGCACACACATACCGCACTTCGAGTATAGGTACACTCGGGGAGGACTGTACATTCGGGTGCAACGGAGATTTCGAGCGAACACAGGTATTCTACTTTATAATTGTTAAATTTCTACTTTATAATTGTTAATTTTCTACTTTGTAATTGTTAAATTGAAGATTTGGTTGAACTTTTAGGTGTTCGAGTTTGAAATTTCCAGATTCAGGCATTCAGTTTAGGTGTTCAAGTTTGATATTTCCAGATTCAGGCATTCAGCTTAGGTGTTCAAGTTTGAAATTTCCAGATTCCAGCATCCAGTTTAGATCTTCAAGTTTTAAATTTCCAGACTTCAGCATTGAGCTTAAATCTTCAAATTCTGCGATTTCCAGATATTTATGTATATAAGTACTCAAATTAGGTTCAAGTTTTAGGTGTTCAAGTTTGAAATTTCCAGATTGCAGCATTCAGCTTAGATCTTCAAGTTTTAAATTTCCAGACTCCAGCATCGAGCTTAGATCTTCAGATTCTGAGATTTCCAGATATTTATATATATAAGTACTCAAATTAGGTTCAAGTTTGATATTTCCAGATTCCAGCATCCAGCTTAGATCATCAAGTTTTAAATTTCAAGACTCCAGCATCGAGCTTAGATCTTCAGGTTCTGAGATTTCCAGATATTTATATATATAAGTATTCAAATTAGGTTCAAGTTTTAGGTGTTCAAGCTTGAAATTTCCAGATTCAGGCATTCAGCTTAGATCTTCAAGTTCTAAATTTCCAGACTCCAGCATCAAGCTTGAATCTTCAGATTCTAAGATTTCCAGATATTACATATATAAGTACTCAAATTAGGTTCAAGTATCTGTGGACCTCTGAATGCTGATCTCCAAATATGTAAACTCTAAGATCCTCTAACTCCACAAATTACTATGACCTCAAACTAGACCACCAAATTTAATACACATTGAAACATATTTTGTGTACCTTGGTTGCATATGTATAAGTGCATCACACAGGTGCACATACATGCAGAGTGGAATATTAATTTTAATTCAAAAAATTTATTTTAATTTTACTATGTATACATGCTACATATTAACACATGTTACTAGACGTTCAAATTGTCACACACCTTGATATATATTTTGTGTACTTTGGTTGCATACGTATAAGTGCATCACACAGGTGCACATACATGCAGAGTGGAATATTAATTTTAATTCAAAAAATTTATTTTAATTTTACTATGTATACATGCTACATATTAACACATGTTACTAGACGTTCAAATTGTCACACACCTTCATATATATTTTGTGTACTTTGGTTGCATGTATGTTCTGAAATAAGTGCATCATAACATGTAGGTGTATATGCAGAGTTGATATACGTAGTCACATCAACAATGATATACAAAATTGACAGTGATATACAAAATTAACAGTGATATACAAAATTAACAGTGATATACAAAATTAACAGAGATATATAAAATTAACAGTGATATACAAAAATAATAATAATATACAAAATTAACAGAGATATACAAAATTAACAATGATATACAAAATGAACAGTGATATACAAAAATAACAGAGATATACAAAATGAACAGTGATATAAAAAAATAACAATGATATACAAAATGAATCCCTGTCAGTATTCAACAACTTCCCAAAAGGATCACACAACCAGTAAATTTGCTACCGAGTGTACTTTCCGATGTATTTCAGTAAGAAATCCCCGTCCGGAATGAACCGAGTCGCACGATCTCGGTTCCCCATTCCGTGGCTCCAAAAACGGTCCAGACGGGTGTCATCGTGTCCAGGTAGAAGATAAAATCGGCCAATCTACGGACTAGGGCGAGTCGATAAAAGGCGCTTTATACGAACGTTGCGTTGTCCACTTGGCCAAGGACAGCGAAGGGAAGAAGAACGACACGCCATCGGGAGATAGAAAGAGACGTCCGTTCGTTTTAATCGCTAATCGCCAATTACCTGGAGCGTCCCGCGCCCGAAAGCCCCAGAAGCATTTTAACGAGCCGCCGTGTCGCCCGGTCCGGAATTTTACTTCTGCCCGGCTCTCGGCTTCCAGCGTCCTTTTCGAAACGGAGACGCCAACAATGTTCACGATACCTCTTCTCCTCTCGCTCTTCCTTTGCTGTTCCTCTTCGTGTATGGTACAGTCACTGGCAAATCTGGCTACTAGAGATGGCGGTCGAGGGACTTGGGGACTTTTCGGGGTTCAGAGTTTTGGAGAGAGAGAATTTAAGGGTGGATGTGTGAAATTTTGGGATTCGACGTGTGTGGAATTTTGGGATTCGACATGTGTGAAATTTTGGCACGTGTGGATGTAAGGATTTGGTGATCTATAATTAGGAGGTGGGGTAGTTCATATATAATAGTTTGCTAGGGGGTGTAATAGCTGGTGGGTCAAGGATTTGGAGGTCTAGGAACTTGGAGACATGGTAGATAATATATAATCGTTTATCAGGAGACATACTAGTTTGTGAATTAATATGTAGCATGTATATACAGTAAAATTAAAATTAATTTTAGCAAAATAACTCTTTTCTTTCTATTTAAAAAGTTCCCTTATTTTTCTGACATACTATGCACATACTGCTGCTAATAGAATGTCACATAATTTGACAAGAGTAATCGAAACCGATTTGTCGTACAAATCGTCTAAAACGAAATCCCTTCCTGTTAGCAAGGAATAGAGAAATTACAGTTGTCCCTGTAACTCCCGTTAAACGGTGCTGCCATTTAGCCCGTGATTCTCTGAGGAAGTCTTTCGTTCGCAGCTGGGTATCGGCTCGGTATCGGAATTATATGGCGAAAACAACGAGCGTCCCGAGTGAAATTAAATGCCGTACGGCCGCTTAAGGAAACGACCATTGTGATTTGGGATTTTTACCACGGTAGCGGTCTCGAGAGCTCGGCCAGGTTAATTTGCCTTCTCGCCAATAACCGTTATTTCGGTATTGACTCGAAAGTGGTTACCCTTGTCCCGATCGCTGCTATCGGGATTAGTCATCCGACTAATCCGTGATGAGCGTGTACACGCAAACGAGCCAACCTTATCCGAACTGTATGGACAGTTAAAAGCAAATCTCGCTTCTATGGGGAGATGTGGTGAATAAGGGGTTTATTTTGTTATTGTTAGCATTCGGGAGGAATTCCATCTTTTCGTTTGCGGAATTTTCGAGAGGGGAAGTTAGGATGGGGAGATGTGCGAGGTTAGGTTGGGAGACTTGTGATACGATTCACGAGACACGAGACACTTCCAGAAAGGATTGTTATAATTCCGGCATTTTGAAACATTTTGCAAAACAGAAAATATTCTGTAACAGGCAATAGTTATAATAAATTATACCTGAAGTTTCGAAAATGCGAAACAAAGGTGTCCTATAAAAAAAAAATGCACAAATATCAGCTTATTGTCATCTGTCTAATAGTATTGACCCTCTTAAGAGTTTCAAGCTGAGGATGAAAAGGAATCTAAAAGCTCTTTGTTGTTCAGACATTCTTTCTTCATTGTATCAATTTTTCGACTAACAAACTTAAACCTCGAAATTTTCAGATTTACTTAAAAATTCAAATTTATACAAATACCCTTCAATTCTGCAGCTTTACATGAAAAACCACGAGGAACGAGTTTCACCACATCCTTCTACATCCTCGAAGGCCATATAGCGAGACTCCGCCAGAACGAGAGTTCCTTAA